GGGGAAGCCAGAGGGGGCGGGGGCGGGGATGTCTGGAACGATGACTCAAAAGGTGCGCCGCTCTGCGTATGCCCGCTGATAGCGGGCCGAAAGCGCGACGCCCAGCGGGTCGCTACTCGCGTCGCAACAGGCTCGTGCGCCGACGGCGTGCGCACGGCTCCCTCACATGATTGGGTGCGCACGCTTTCGCTCATATACACGCACGCGTAAACACACACGCGCACGCGTGCGCGCACGCGCAGGGTTCCACCCCCGCACCGCGAGGACGGCCTGGCCGGTGCCGTGGCTGGAAATGAGGATGAGCATCTTGCTGAAGGCGGACTCGCCCTTGCCCACGGTGCCAGCCAGGGCGGAGATGGCCACCCTGGACGCATGTGTGTGTTTTGTGGGGCGGGGGTGCGTCGACAGGGGCTCAGGTGTGCCGTCCGGGCGCAGGCGTCCCAAGCGTTGCCGGTTCGGAACCTTGTTGCGCCCAGGGCTGGCGACGTGAGGGCAGGCGCGATCGCATTCGTGTGTGTGTGTATTCGCTCGATCACCTCCTTTGCCACGCACAAGTCATGACGCCCCCCACCCCCCACCACCTCCCCATCGCCCCTCGCCCGCACCAAACCCCACCCCAAAATCACATGCGTCCCCCTCCGCGCACCATCCGGTGACCATGCTGCTGAGCTGGACCACAAAGAAAGTGAAGCCCATCACAGCCAGGCCACGCTGCACGACGGCCGCGCTGCGCCCCGCGAACAGGCGCTGGCTCAGGTGGGGGAACATGGTGGCCGCGATCGTCGTCTTGATCACAAACTGCCGAGGAGGGGTTGAGAGGGGAGGGACCGGTGGTTTGACTCTGATCAATCCGGGGACCAAAACACCAGCGTGTCAGATTGACAGGGCAACGGCTGTTTGGTGCACTCCCAAGCGGTTTCTTGACCTCCCATGAGCGATAAGACTCGGCCAGGCGAGTCGGTTGCACGGGTCAACTAGACAACCAATCAGCCAGGCAGCACCCTTGCAGTTGACGAGGCGAGGGCCCGCAAGGGCGGTCCCCCGACCCTCAGGCCACCACGCTAGGTCATTGCAAGGGGGCGCCGCGCCGCCCTCACGTCAAAGTAGGAGACGATGGTGGCGGGAGGGGGCACATACTGCATGGCCGCCACCGCGGGGATGGCCGCGTTGGCCGGGTCCCTGGAGGGGGGTGAGTTTTGGGGAGGGGAGCGGGGTAAGAGGAACAAATTATGCCCAAAACGGAGACGGACAGCCGAGGTAGGAGGGCCCCGCCCTCAACCTCAAGACGGGGGCTGGCCACACCGCACGTGGC